ATATATATATAAAACCAGCTGTACAAAAAGTAACCAGAATATAGAGATAGCTCATGGAAAAAAGTGAATAGGGGGATTTATATTCATGAGCTAGTTGACCAAATAAAGAAACCAGGGGGTAAAAGACACAGTGTCCATTCAACTGAGAAGGAGCATCTCATGACCATTTAAATTGGTAACAAAAGACAAGCTTCACTCACTTGAAGTGATCTTGTAAGGAGACATTAAAGTCAAAGGCATCTCCCCGATCTGTGAAGCCAATGCCAATGAATGCACTGCGCCCTGAGAAAAAGACAGGAACACTAAGAATAGGAAGTGTTCCCTGTGACAACGTCCACCCAATGAAAATGTATCCATTCACCCAACCAGATAAAAGTTTTTGACGGTAAAACATCTTTTTATAGACCAGGAGTTGGCAGGTTACAAACAACCCATGGTCAAAGCCCACCACAGCTTGTTTTTGTAAACAAAGTTTTATTGATACAGTCACATCAATCTGGTTATATATTGTCTACAGCTATTTTCATACTACAATAACAACACTAAGCATAGTAGTTGCAATATAAACTATATGATCCACAAACCTAAAATACTTATTGTTTACCTATCTCTAGTTACCAGCCTCTGTTACAAAATATGAACAAATGATTGAGTTACTGCCCTACAAAGAAATAACTGAAGACAGTCCCACCAAAAACTATCATAAACAATAAATGAGCAAAATGTGTTAACTCTTTTGATAGGCATTATTTAAGTCCTACCTATTAATTACTACATCTTAAACTTGTGTTCACATCTATTACAAACAACATGTTAATCCTTCTCTGTCAGGAACCATAATAACTTTGGAGAAAGGGGAAGAAAATTTATTAAACAAAAATAAGAGAAATGCAATAAGGACACAATTTTATTACAGTACAGTACATTGACTATTTCCCTAACCTCGTCCCATGCAAAATCCCAGACCCCTTACCAGTACCATCCTGGATCCTGATTACAAAGTAACGGCTGGAATCTGTCACTGTCTCCACAGCAATACCAGGATATTGTTCCACTGGTGCCTGAGCAAAGAGCTCCCCTGACAGACAAGAAAAAGAAGCTCTTTGAGCAAAGGAAGCAAACACCAGAATTCTAATTAACTGCTATTTCCACCCCAGTCACCAACCTGAAGGTCCTTATAAAAGCACACCAAGTCAGTGTCCTTGACACAGGAGGGCCCCCACACTTTACCTGAAACTTTATCTTCCAGTTTGATATAGGCAATCTTCCCTTTTGAAGTGATTCGGAGGCGACCAGTCCAATCAGGCTGGTCTAATTTCCAGTCAGATGCCCTAGGACAGGAAAATGGGAAGCCTCAGGCCTCAAGTGCATTTCAGTACACTAAAGCCTTCTCAGAATCATTTGCCACACTTCTATTCCCCATCCTGGGTTGCCTGTTCTTTTTACATAGTAAATAACAAGAATAAATCATGATTTCCTTATATACATGTGTTATGTTACATATCATCCAAAGCAAGTAAAAATCAATATTACTACTGGAGGATTTTAGAGTCTAATAAGTATAAAAACATGTAAAAGTACAAATAAAAGAAATTTTAAAATAAAATTTCTTCTTTTCAATTTTTTTTTCTTTTTCTTTGGTACCGAGGATTGAACTTGGGTCCTTGTGCTTGCACAGCAGGCAGTGAAACCACTGAGCTAAATCTCTGGCCCAAAATAAAATTTCTTGGAGCTGGAGGTGTAGTTCAGTAGTATAGAATTTTCCTAGCATGTATGAGGCCGTGGGTTTAATCCCCCGTACCATAAAAAAAAAATTTTTTAATTAAAAATTTAAAAATGAAATTTCTCACAAGAAAAAAACTGAAAATAGAAGGAAAAATGGAAACAAAGCTTTGTACATAGGGAGAAGAGGGGGCTTGAGGGGGGGAATGGGATAAAATAAAATAAAATTTAATTTTTTAAAAAGTTTCTCATAATGCTATTTTCATACTGTACATGATATTCTACATAATGATGCTTTATTGATCAGGTAATGAAAAAATCTACCTACTAAATGAAATATTCAGGGTAAAAATTACTAAACATAGTATCTTTCACTGAATTCAACCAATATTTACAGAGATTTTGCTTTGTCTTGCTGTTTTCAGTGCTGGGAACTGAATCCAGGGCCTTTGCACTGAGCTACATTCCCACTCCTTTTCTATTTTTATCTTTATTTTGAGACAGATTCTCACTAAACTGCCTGTGACTAAGTCATAAACACTGTTCTGGACGCTTAGGATACAACAGCAAACAAAACATTCCGCTACTTGTGAGGCTTACATTCTAATAGAAAACAAATAAGGAAAACATAATACACAACAGAATTAGTATCTTAGAAGGTTATAAATACTAAGGTAAAAAGGAAGAGGCAGGGCCGGGGACTTAGCTCAGTGGTTCCGCCGCCTGCATCATAAGCACGCAAGGTCCTGAGTTCGATCCCTGGTACCAAAAAATAAATAAATAGATAGATAGATAGATAGATAGACAGACAGACAGACAGGCAGACAGGCAGACAGATAGGAAGAGGCAAGTAAGGAAAGGTGGGGGGCAGCAGGAGAGTTTGGCAGCGTCATTCAGGAAGAAGGTCAGGGAAGGCCTCATTAGGAAGGTGGAATATGCACAAAAATGAGGAGCACTGAGAGGATTACCCACATTTACCCGGGGAAACACACTCTCCGCACAGGAACTAGCAAGTGCACATGAGGCCGAGGAGGGAGCATGCCTGGCATGTTTAAGAGACATCAAGGAAACTACTCTGCTTAGAACAGAGTGAAAATCCAAGCAGCAAAGGTAACAGAGTGGCTAGATAATCAGGGCCTTGTAGGCCATGAAAATAACTTCACCTTTTACTCTGAGTCAAAGGGATTTTAACCAGATGTGTCACCTGATCTCCCTTATATATATATGAGGATTATTTTGTCTGCTGTGCAGAAAAGAGCTGCAGAGACAAGATGGCTACAGCAGGAGGATTATTTAAGAGACTACAGTAATAATCTAGATGAGTCATGATGATGACTTAGAAAAGATAATACCAGAAGTTGGATAGGTTCGGCATGTATGTAAGATAAAAGCAGCAGAATTTTTTAACAGATTATGTAGGTGTGTGGCATAAAAGAAAAAGAGGACGCCTCCAAGGTTTTCAGCCTGAGCAAAGAGTTGTCAATAACTGAAACAAAGAAGGCCTTACATGGAACATAGCTAGGAAGAAAGGTCCAGGGTTCTGCTCTGAATACACTGAATTTGAGATGTCTAGTGAATTTTCAGGAGAAGATGTAGGATAGGAAAGTGAATATGAAAGACAAGAATAGAGTTCAAGAAAGACATCCAGAATGGAGATACAAATGTCCATGAAAATATTAAAACACACTGAACATTTATAATCTGTGTGTACATGAATTTGAATGAAACTTAAAACATTCCTTATGACCAATTTTATAAAACACTGCATTTGTGACTTGGTTGTTTGTTTGCTGAGTCAAGAGTCTCGCTCTATAATTCAGACTGGCCTTGAACTCACTGTATAGCCCAGGCCAGCCTCAAACTCTGGGCGATCCTCCTGCCTCAGCCTCCCAAGTGCTGGGATTACAGGCATGTGCCACCAAACCCAGAAATTCCTTTACTTCTTGAAGCTCTGTTCCCAAACACCTTCAAGTATTTGTTTCTGATCCAGATGAGAGCACTGTACAGGTCTCCATCTATGAATTTTTAAGTAGTAATTGCTTATTCTAGCCATGACATTTATGCTTATCCTAAATAGCTTAAGTGGGCTATTGAAAAACTTTAGAACAAGCCTAGTGGATGTGTTTCTTTGGACAGGTTCCTTATCTTTTTTTTATCTTGTATACCTAGTGCCTAATATTTTTTAAAATCTTGGTAACTAAATGGACATTCATAACAGCAGTTTCCTTAGCCTTGGGCATCGGTTCTTCTCCCTAAAATCCCTACATCTAGCCTAAAGAACTCTTGGTTTTGTTGGTCTTCTGACAATACTACAAACTAACCTCACAAATGTTCATTTACCTTAGCAATAACACTTTGTGTATAAATCATTATGAATGACAGTGAGAATCCACAGGTATATTTTATTAAACCCTTACACCAGCCATGAAAACCCTAATCCTCCATCTCCTAGAAAGACAACAATACAGAAATAATGCTTCACTTCAAAGTCCAGTATTCTCTGCATTGCATCAAAACACACTACAGAGTTTAATACTGATTAGCAAGGGGAAGAGGGAGTGATAAATTTTTTTAAGGTTTTATAATTTGGAAAATCATTTTCTACTTATTTGTAAGCTTTCTTATCAACCTAAATTTTCCTTCTCATGGTCTAAAGCTCTGGTCAGTGCAAGTTTAGAAAGTAACAGTTTGTACCAGGTAAATAAGTCACTTATTCTCTTTGATCTTACTAATCACTCAAAGATTCCCCTGCTTGCCAAAAAGCCATTTGTCCTTCAATGGCAGCTTAGAGAATAAATCATGTTCATAGTGTAAAATGGGTTCTGGTAGTTCTGGTAACAATAAGAAAGACTACACAGATAAAAAGACAGAAAACTAACATTTATTAGCTGGGGATGTAGCTCAGTGGTAGAACACTTGCCTAGCATGACACATGAAGTTTTGGATTTAATCCATACTACACACACACACACACACACACACACACAGTAGGGAGAGAAAGGGAGGGCGGGAGAGAGACAGACCTTTATCAAGTGTCTACTATGTACCAGGCATTATGACCATTTTTAAGAAAAATAAGTGATAGGATCTTGCAAAGTCATTGGTTAGATCCATTTTTATAGATGAAAAAACTAAAGCTCAGAAAGTTCAGTGATTTGCCAAAGGTAGCCTAATAAATAAATGAAGTCAAACTGTTCTGTTCATTTATTACACTAAAAGAGTAACTAAAAAATGCTTCCTCAAGGCTAAGAAATGTCAAAAAGATGCATAGAAAACACAAAAGGGTAATAGGAAAAGAGTAAAAGAAAAATTAAGAATTTGCTTTAATAAGGATCAATGCACTTAATACAAGGATAAAGGCTGTGGGTAAACTAGAAGTAAAATTTGAGTGTGCAGATGAGTAAAAGGAGTTTTGTTTTGTTTTTCCTTTTTTTTGTTTTGTTTTGTTTTGTTTTTTCTTGAGGCAGGGTCTCCCTTTGTTAATTTGGGCTGGCCCTGAACTCACTATGTAGCCCAGGCTGGCCTTAAACTCACAGCAATCCTCCTGCCTCAGCCTCCCAAGTGTTGGGATTACAGGCTTGCACCATCATACCCAGCTTAAAAGGAGTATTTTTAAAACCTTGAAATTCATAGAAAAAAAAGGTTTGAAATGAGCTCTTTTACTTGTTTCAGCAATTCAATCAATGTTAACTTATGTAATTACATTGATCTGTATCATCTAATTCCTCCTCTCAGTGGACATTTAGAGTGCCCACCTTGTGCCAGACACTGTGCTAGACCCTCCTAGTGTTACAAAGTTTCGGAAGAACTCACACTGTTCAGTCTCCTCTGGTGAAAGTAGAGACTAAACAATCCATTATAGAAGAGAATGAAGAGCACAGTGACAGATACAAGTAGAAGGGGCTACAGAAGCAAAGACAGACAATCCCTAAGCCAGAATGGAAGGTTCAGTCAGGGGTTCCCAAAGAAGGTGATGCCTAAGGTGAGTCATGATTATGTAGTACCTGTGACCATCAGAAAGCATGCTGGTTGCTATTCATGGTCGATTTGGGGCCTGACTGCTAACTTCCTGAAGGTAGAACTACCTCTTTGCCAAGAGGTACAACTCACAGGGCCCAGGGCATAGGTCTGCGAGCACAAGGACGCTGATTTGTGATGAGGTAAAGAGGCAAAATGAGCCCAGGAAGAAAATAACATTTCAGCCAAGATAATGATCAATACCATGAGAAAAATTACCATGGTGATATGGGTCCAAAAGAGAAATAACATGATCTTACATATATAATGTTTGAATTTATCCTACATTCTTTCACACCCATTATATGATTTCATTTCACTGTCCAAAATCCCCTGTGAGAGCCATAAGAGCATCTGACACTAGCATTAATTTTTTTTTTCTCTTTTACAGTTGAGAAAACTAGGGTTTGGAAAGGTTGAGATCTGCTCCCACATTATGCAGCTATTAAGTGGACGGCGTTCAAACATATTTTTTAACATATAACCTAGTAAAGTCTCTTTCAACTACAAAACTATAACATCCTCAGATCCCCCGCAGTCAGTGGATGACAAGGCTTGTTAGGCCCTACAGAGAAAATGCTGCGTTAACTCTGGAGGAAATATTAAAGGAGAGGTTAAAAGGGGAGTGAGGGGAGACAAATAATACTATATAAACAAGAAAATATAATGAAAAGAAATGTAATGGGCTACTATTGGCAAATGTATAATCTTTACCCACTGGCAAAAAAAAAAAGATCGAATGGTGAATGATGATATCCAATGGCAAAAATGACAACAGTACAGAAGATTAAATTACATCATCCAAACAGTGACCAGAAACACAATGATTACCCACGAGTGTGCACGAAGAATTGGAAACGGGTGTGTGATGAAGACTGCAAGCTGAAGGACACAGGGAAAAACGAACGGAAGGGGGCTGGCGAAGGAGCAGGCATGAATGGATGCGCCTGACGGAGACCAGATGGATGTCCCCAGCAGTATAGGGGAGGAGAGGTAGGATGATGCAGGGTGGAAATAAAAATAAATAAAATAGAAGAAAAAAATGTAAAGGGCAGAAACAAGGCTAGGCTAGTCCAGAGTGGAAGCGAAGCAAGAGAACAGGACATTGGGAGACAGGTTAGCTAGGTGACAACCCAGCGGTGGTAACTGCAGGAGCGGGCAGAGCGCTACCTAAGGAGACAAGTGTCATCCCCCACGGATGCGCCTGTGCGGCAGTGCCTCGGGGTTAGTACCTGTACCCGCGGTTGGAGGCCCGGGGTGGAATCCGGTAGACGCTGACGTCTGGTTTCACACACAGCACAGACTCGTACTCCAACTCAGCCGCCATCTTGGATCCGCGCTTCGCGCCGCTGAGTGCGGGCCGCAGGGCCGGGGACGGACGTGGGGGCGGGGTTGCGATGCGCGACTACTTCCGCTACGCCACTTCCGCTCTCCTGGGCTTCGGTCCTAAATTTAACCTCTTCGGGGGCGCGGGTTGGGGGAGCCATATTGAAACCTGGAAACCTTGAGGCCGAACAGCTCGCCATCTTGGATAATGGCAAAGATACTCCACCGGTTGGTGGACTATACGTAATGGAAATCTTTCTGCTGGAGAGGTGCTGAGGGAAAGCGCCATCTTGCTTCCGGAGGCTGGTGCCCAGGAGCTTCAGGAGAACCTAGACCGTCTTGAAAACTGGCAGAGTTCCTTCTTTTTAACCATAGTATCCTGTGGTATCGGGCCACCTGTGATCTCAAACTGGGCGCCTACAGGAAATGTGTGGAGGAGCTTAACTATCGAGAATCGAAACGTCCAAAATGCCCAGCCTGATAATATTGTCTATCACCTCTTCTCGGATTTTGCAGGATGGCACCTGTTGAAACAGCGCACTTTCAGCTTGTGTTCCTATTATCTTTTGCAAAATTTAAACTTTGGCGGGGAGGGGGGGACAATGGGATCAGCTCAATTCCTGACAAATTCGGGAAGCATAATAAACTATCTAAAGCCTGCTATTTCCTCTCAACTGCATAATTACAAATACTAGGGAATTATCCAGAAGTATTTTCCTTGTACACTCAAGACGTAAATTTACCACAACACTGTAACTTAAATTGATTTAATTAGCACGGATGGCAAGTTGTAAAACCAAAATATGAACTCATTTTGGCTGACTGTGCCAATAGCAGCCTTCATCACTTTATTATACTGACTGGTTGAATTATACTTCCTAGGGAAGTGGTATCTTAAAATTATAATATTTTGGTGCTCACTTCGGCAGCACATATAATTATAATATTTTGGAATTATATTACATATTGGAATTATAATATTTATTGCTGTTACACAGGTGGAGATTTGGCTACTCTCAAATATAATAGTATTGACAAAAATGTGAATTAGTGCAGTACTTTGAAGGGAATTAGTAGAATTGATCAAAATAACCTTCAATTTAAAATGTTCACCAGTAGGTACTTTAGAAGACACTATATCCACAAAAATGTATGTACAATAATGACAAGGCATTTTTGTAATCATGAAAAAAAATGGAAAAAAACACCAATATCTATGAATAGAAAATAATTAATGGCATATCTATTACCATGTGATGATTTACACTAAAGGCAGAGATCATATATGAATGCCACTGAGTCACAATTAAAACAAACAGCCAACTGCAAAAAACGCAGTATTTTCAATTTATGCCAAAACTCAAAAATTAAATTTTTGTGCATGTGAGTACACTAAAAATGGTCTCAAAAGTTATGGGGCTAGAGTGGGAAAAACTATTCTTTTTCTACCCTATATACTCCACTATTCAAGATTTTATGAAGATATATAATAGACATACATATATGTATATATAACTAATATTTTCACTGAAAACATGGAAAAGGGCTAAGAAAGGGTGGTCTGTTTTTAACTGTGATCTCATCTGAAGCCTAGATCATGTGACTATACCACATCATTACCTTTTTTCCCCCTTTATAGGTCATTGTCATTTATTTAGGACTCTGGTTCACTTTTTTACTGTTTCACATTCTTCCTATGTCTCAGTTACTTTATCTCTGGGACACAATGCTTAACATCCACAAATTAAGACAGAAAACGTTATTATGGTTCACAGTTGTAGAGGTTTCAGTCTGTAGGCCACTGACTCCAAGGCAGGGTAGCATGGCAGAAAAGAAACAGCTCATGGCATGGGGGTGGGAAGCAGAGAGGGATCAAAGGAGGAGAGACCCATGTCCTCCAACTTCACCTCCCAACAGCACATCTAGCTAGAAACTCATTAGTGGAATAATCCACTGATGAGTATCATACACCCAAAATCTAGTCACCTCCCAAAAGCCCCACCTTTGGGGAAACATCTAGATATAAACCATAACATCCTTTCATTGTCAAATCTTGCTATCACAGAGATTTGCAAGTTCATATAATTTTCGTGGCCTCTAAATCATCTTTACTCCATCTCACCTCCTTGCCCCTCACATGACTTTTTCATCAGCCAAAATAGCTCCATTTCTGAAATCTTGGAACTCTAACTTATCCCAAGCCATTATCCTAATTTTGTCTACCACTAAAGTCCATTATTCCTGTTATTCATCATGTTTTTGCAAACACATTATCCTCTTTATTCCTCTTCTTCCTTTTTTTTTTTTTTTTTTTTTTTTTTTTTTTTTTTTTTTTTTTTTTTTTTTTTTTTTTTTTTTTTTTTTGGTACCAGGGATAGAATTTGGGACCTTGCGCTTGCGAGGCAGGCAGCAGCACCACTGAGCTAAATCCCCTGCTTCATTCCTCCTCTTCGTTGTTTCAATTCTGCTCTTTCCCTTAACCTTAAACCCCTTCCTTTTCTATCTCCACCAACCCAAAAGGCTCTAATCATGTATAATCCAAACATCAACCTCTATTATGACCCCAAGAGCAAATTACACAATTTTAGAAATTTATGTCTATAGAGTTTTATGGATTTGAGTCTCAGCTTTGCCATTAACATTAGCTCACAGTTAACAGTCCCTGGTCAGCAGGCTCCAGGCAGAGATGACATAGAGGAAGGCCCTGGTCAGAAGAAAGGCTCTGGTCAGCAAGCAAAGAGTGAGGGGGAAGCTGGGAAGGGAGATATTTACACACAATTTTTCTAAATCTTGAAGTTGCTACACATTCAATGACAATAAAAAGTGTAATGAGGTTTCAATCATAGTTTACAGATATTTCTTAACTAGAATGATCGTTAGTCTGCACTTTACATGCGACAGACTGGATACCTGGACATAAATCGTTCATCAGGTGGAGCTGCAGGATGGGAACGTCTTATTTCAGGATTTGCAAATGACCTCCTTCCACTGCACCACACCATCTCATAGGAGAAGCACCCAAGTCCTGCTCCAGAAAAAACACACAGGCCGGGCACGTTGGTGCATGCCTGTCTTCCTAACACTCTGGGGAGCTGAGGTTGCAGAATCCAAGTTCAAGCCCAGCCTGAGCAACTTGGAAACTTAGCAAGACCCTGTCTCAAAATAAGACATTAAGGGGCTGGGGATTTAACTCAGTGGTTCCGCATCCTGCCTCACAAGTGCAAGGACCTGAGCTCAATTCCCAGTAGCAAAAAAAAAAAAAAAAAAAAAGGCAAAATAAGACATTAAAGGTGGGCTGAGGATGTAGCTCTGAGCAAAAGGCCCTGGGTTCAATCCTCAGTAACCCTCCCAAAAGACTATACATGTATAGTTTTGCATAAACATCTATTTTTTCATGTAATATAAGAGATTGTCCCAAGTATGCAAAACTAGATAAAATATTTATTGTAGTATTTTTGTAATAAAAATTGAAATAGTCAAGCCGAGCGTGGTGGCACATGCCTGTAATTCTGGACTCAAGAGGCTGAGTTTAACGCCAGCCTAAACTAATAGCAAGACCTGTCTCAAAACAAATGAACAAACAAAAAAATTGAAATAGTCTAAATGTCTACCTGGAATTGATAAATTATGATACAACTATGAATGAAGTGCTATGTGCCTGTTAAAAATTGAGATTAGCCCAGGCTGAGTGGCACACACTTGTGATCTCAGCAACTAGGAGGCTGAGGCAGGAGGATCGCCACTAGTTTGAGGCCAACCTGAGCTGTAATGAGTCTGAGGAACTGCATAGTGAAATCCTGTCTCAAAAATCAAAAAAAAAAAAAAAAGAGAGAGAGAGAGAGGGATAGACTAGAGATTAATTTTGTGTATATTAATATGAAAAAGTTAATTAATAAATAAAAATGCAAGATATAGAATAAAAACTGTAACGTGTCATTTATATTTTAAAAATTAGCCTTGGAGAGTGTTGCTCAGTGGTAAAGCACTTGCCTAGCATGCACAAAGCCCTGGATTCAATTCCCAGCAATTCCCAAAAAATAGAGGCTATGTAAAATATTTAGGCTTCATAGGCATAGAAATAATTGTGGAACTATAGCTAAGACATTTAACAAGGGCTAGGGGCCAGGGATTTAGCTCAGTGGTTCTACCACCTGCCTTGCAAGTGCAAGGTCCCGAGTTCGATCTCCAGTACCAAAAAAAAAACAAAAAACAAGACATTTAACAAGGGCTATTCATTCTCAGAAAGGGAAAGGGGAAAGAAAAGATACTCTTTTACATTTTATATTCTGTTACATTTATAATAGGAATAATAAATTGTAGATTTTAAAATATGAAAATAAATATTTGAAGCATATATATAAAATTAAAGTAAAAACCATATAGCAAAAGAAAAATAATTACTTTTGGTAAAGAGAGGTATAAAAGACACAAGAAAAGAATATGCAGGAGTTATACTCTTTTGATATCTTATAACTTTAAAAAATACTCTAAATAAATATGGCAAAATATTAGCTCCTTGATAAAGATGATTAGTTATAACTTGGTAAAGCTAATATTAACTACAGTATTCTGTTCTTGTTGTTGTTGCCTTTGGTTTTTTGAGACAGGGTCTCACTGTGTAGCCCAGGCTGACCTTGAATTCACAGAGATCCACATGCCTCAGCCTCCCGAGTGCTGGGACTACAAGCATGCACTGCCACACCCAGCTATTTTGTATCCTTGTCTTTTCCACTACTGGGATTGAACCCAGGGCCTTCACACTGACCTACATCTCCAACTCTTTTATTTTTCTTTCTTTTTCTCTTAAATCTAAATCAGTAAATTGCCTGCCTGGGCTCTAACCTGCAATCTCCCTGTCACAGCCTCCCAAAGTGCTGGGTTTACAGGCTTGTACCACCAGGCCCAGCGCTTAGCATGATTTCATAATGTCTGCATCAAATAATAATAGGCATTGACCTAAACACAGCCATCCCATCTCTGTGCTGTAGCTGCTGTGTCAGATTAAACCAGCCCAGCTTGTAAATGTTACAATCTCGAAATCTGAGGAGCAATAAATTCTATCTTTGATTTATTTACTACTGTATCCTG